GCCCCCGGGGGGCTGCGACACTTGTCGGTGTCACCTCCTGCCCCGCCGCTCCTGCTGCAGCTCGCCAAGTGACCAGCCCCCTCCCCGCTCGCAGCTGGTTTTTCTACTCGTTAACAGTGGGGTTTTTCACCTTCCCCCGCTATTGATTTTAAAGGACTTCTCCTCTCCTGCAAAGCACGTGTCTTGGTTAGAAGACCATTTAATTGACTCTTTAATCAAAGAGGGAAGACACCAGCGTATCGGTGCCTGACGTCTGTGGCGGGATAGGAAACCAAGCCACTCTCAGGGGATGTCTGCATCGACGTGGCTAATCCACCGCCGAGCTGCTTGGTAAACCAGCTACCCCCGGGAAATGCCAGCCGGCGAGCAGAGGGGCTTACAGGAGCATTGCCCCGGCCACTGACCTGCTGGGTGGATCCCAGCTCCTTCCCGCTCCTCACTTCCTCTACTGACATTTTTCTTTTCTTTTTTTAAATTATACATGCTCACTCTGTCTGGGTATCTGGAGGTTTTTGTGTGTACAGAAGAGGGATCTCAGTCTTTGTAGGCCTTCCTGGTGCTGCCTTAATAACGTTAATGGGTGCGCAGTGGTTAGAATCCAGAACAGGTCAAATTGGTTAAAGTACACGTACCTCAGGATTTCATCTTGCAGCTGCATTAGCAGCATCACCAGACCTGAGAGGTGCTAATGCGCATCCATGGGTGCTTGCGAGGAAGCTGGTGTCTGGAGCGTAACGGAACTTTTTATCCTTAATATAAAAAATTATGTTCTAAAATTATGTTCTAAAATTATGTTCTAAAATCCTGGACGATTATCCCCAAAGCTCCTCTTAAACAGGGAGAGCGGTGACAGATTTATTGACTGCCCTCCGGTTCTGGCACATCCAGCTGTTTGGTGATCTGTGGTCCATCAGGCAGGCAGCTCTGAATGTAAACATCCTGCAGCTCTCACGGCCCCCGAAGGCCATGTCGCTATTGAAGGGGAGGAGAAGGAAGGAAAACTGCAGTTTCGTTAGTACTGCTTGTACAGAGGAAAGACTCTGGCTCCGGTGGGGTTTAAGGCACCGTGTGCTGTTATCTGGTCAGACAGAGAAAGGGGAGAAAAAAAAAAAGCAGGGTGCAACATGCCAAACAGAATATCCCAGCTGAAATTCTTGCACCTGAACTTGCCAGCCTAAAACCCACTCGTGTAGAGGAAAATTTGTGTTCAGGATAGAGCAGCTGTTTCAAGCACCGGTTCCCAACAATTTCTGTGGTAAACAAGCCCCAGTGAATGCCCGATATAACCGTTTTTCACCGTGAGTGATGTGGCAGTCGGGCGAGCGCGCGGCACAGGCTGTTGGCGTTACTGTTCCCAGGTGTAGCATCGTAGGCAAGCGCGTAGGGGCTCCTTCGTAACAGCGCAGCGCACTTCAGCATCTTGCTCTCGCAGTGAATCTGTCTCCCGTGCTCTCCCTCGTGGTGCAGCATTCCTGAGAGAGGCATCCGTGTGCCGGTGGTCCCTGTGGAGCAGGCGCGGGCAGAGCCAGTGTGCTCAGTTGGAGCTGAAGGACAGATTCCTCCTTTGGACTGAGGTCACTGGCTTGTGTTTGCTATGTGGAGAGGCAAAGGCATCGTGTACTTTTAGATGAACTGGATGAGGGAGGGAGGGATGCAGCCTGATGGATGCAGGCTGAAACTAGCTCCCCCCTTCCCTGCCCCTGGGCTGTGAAGTTTGGCAGGAAGCTGGCCCTCGCAATGGCCACATCAGCACCAAAACGCAACTGGAGCTGAGCAGGGCAGAGGTCTGCTTCTTCCCTGGGACCATGGGGGTTTGGATGAGCGACCGAACCCAGTGCGAGCTAAAGGATCCCTCCCTCATCCAAAGCAGACCCCCTTAGCTGAGGGGGAAGCATCAGAAAGGTGAATTAAAAGATACACCAGCCAACAGACAAGACACTGCTGCTGCAGATTCTGCCAAGTCTTTCAAAGACAAATTGTTCCTTGCAGCAAGGATGGAAACAAGGTCATTCATAAAAGAGTAATTGATGTCTGGCCGGTGACAGCCCTCCGCGGGGCTCATGTGGCTGCCTCCTGCAAAGGGAGCAGGCAGCAGCCCGCAGCCGGCTCTGAGGAGCCCCAAGGGTCTGGGAGATGTTGAACCATCCTCGACCCTTCCACACTTTGTATGCAAACTACACATTGCCTTTTCTGGTTTCCTCCAAATGTCTTCTAATGTAATTAGAAAGTTGCTCATCCAAATGCCTTTTGGCTGGGAAGGGGGAAAGCAGCCTATAATTCATTTATAAGATGTCCTCGGAGCCATATAATTGCTCTGCACTGGCTGGATGGAGGGGGAGCTTCCCAAGGGGCCGTGTCTCGGTATTGCCAGAGAATCTCGGCAAATAAAGGAAGAGCTGATGCTGGAGGTGAAGGACTGAGATGTGGGGTGGAGCTGAGGAAGGGAAGATGAGAAGGAGGATTTTAATCTGCTGGGGTTTCTGGCCCCAGAGAGATGTCGTAAGTGCTGGAGCTGGTGGGGGAAGGGAGGGAGAGCACGGGGAGAGAAATATGTGTGGTGCCACTGGCATACTGTCGTTCTCACTCTCCAGGTTCGTGGTGGGTCCTCTCAATTCAACCCTTACTGGAATGATGTGTGGAAGAGCTTTCACATTGCTATCCATGCTGGTTTTTGCATCTGTCATAATTTTCTCTTTTTTTCTTGCCTTTGAGCTTGGTTTTGGTGAACACGATGATTTTGTTATGCTGTTTGTTTTTGGGGGAAGTGGTTGGAGGAGGTGCAAAATGCAGGGTCTGGTGCTATTGAGGAGTAACCCGACATGCCCGTGTAGCCTCACCTCCTCCTTGGTCTGATTTGTGCTGTACCTGCAGGGGCTGGATCACCCACACTGTCTGGGTTCATCCTTTGGTCTGTGACATCTTGCCTTGTGTGCTCTTCCCCATCTTTGCTACTTGTATCCCCCTGGTCACGTCAGCATTTGATCAGACTTTCCTCTCATCTCCTTTAGGGTCTTCTGTTATCCCATTTCAGCTCCTGGCAAGGCAGCGAGTGATCTCACCAGCTATACGGCCAGGCAGCTGCCAGAATAATAAAAGGAGAGACTGGACATACATAATTTAAGCTTTTCTGTAAGAGCCGTCACAGGGTTTTCCTCAGCATCTGATGCAGACAGGACATTCCCCAAAAAAGTGGTGAAATGCCAACGGCAGTCTTGTTCCTGGAGCAAAGCCCCCGGGCAGGGCATCGTCCTGCCACGAGCAGAGAAACGTGGCAGGCAGCAGATGGACAAGAACCAGTAAAAGTCGGTGTATTGGCATGTTCACATCAATTTCCAGGATTTGAAGTAACACATTTTCCTTTCTTACTGCATACGGAGGAGTTTGGGGCTTTTTTTTTTTTTAACCATACTTTTTAAGTAAAAGTTTTTTGGTGAAACAGAATGGGTAGCAGCAGTGGTCTTCCTCTCGTTAAGCTTGAATTTGGTAAACTTTCGTGGAAGATTTACTCTTTAAAGTGATTTCAGCTATATCATATTATTCAAATACTCATTAAAAAATTAAACCAATATAAGCTGCAGTCTGTTGAGCAATTTTCCCCTGCTACATAACTTTGTGTTGGAAGAGGGACGGTTTCACGGAAAAGCTTGTAAGGGCAATAATTTTGGACTGGTGCTTATTCATCATCTTTTGTCATTCCAAGACTAAGCTGTGGATTCATATTTGATGAGCCCATTTGGCCTTCAAACACTTCACAGGCACTTTTTTCTTCCTTTTTAAATATTTTTTTTTAATGTGAACAAGATCCTTTGGTCCAGCTGTCACAACAGGCAAGCACTGTTTACATCAGGGTTTTGTGGGTTTTTTTTTTTTTGTTCAAATAAAGAGATAACCCCTGTAACTTCCAGCTCTGCAAGCCTAAGGAAGAAGACAAAAGTCAAGCTTCCTCCTGCATCGCTGACATCATTGTTTAGACACCTCAGGGTCAGTTGCTGGCCTTGATTATTTTTCTGTTGTCCTTTTGTGTAATTAGGATGGTGGTGATTTAAGGAAGGCAGCTTGGCCATGCAGCTGCCACCTTGCTAACAGAGTGAAGTCTAGCTCCTTTCCCAGAGCAGGTTGCTCTCCATCCTGGTTACTCACTCCTTTATGGACTATTTGTGTGGGTTTTCCCCTCTTTGAAACTGATAGTTGAATGCAGAGGATTGGACCCCGTAAGTAAGGAGATGCTATTTTGGGGCATGGTCGTGCTGCAGAAGAAGAGCAGGCTGTAAATATAATGTTTTTCTCTCTCTCTTTTTTTTTTTTCCTAAAGGGAATTTGGGCACAACAGGTTAACCGCTCTGCAGGAAGCCAGGTGCTTTTTTGGTCAACCCCTTCAAATGGCCACCGTGTAATTATAGGGCTCCTGCTGGAGAATCACATTATTATCCATGTAATTTCTTTTATGTAACCAGCATTATGAGGGATATTAAAACAATGTGATGTTCAGCTCTGATTTTAACTAAACTTGCTCAAACAACCATATTAAATACGACCCAACAGTGTTATCAAATGGATATTTTTTCTCCCCATGTGGTAACTGATGGTATCTTTCCTCTTTATCCTCAGGGATTTTTCTGTTTTGCCCTGGCCTTCTGCGGATTGATCCCAGCTGCCTGCTGGAGATACACACACAGCACGGAGGTAAGCGTCGGCTGCTAGGAAATACCACCAGCATCAGATAGACGTTTTTGTAGTATGTGCCAGCAGCCATTTCTCCTATAAAAGGGACATCTGGTGGTAATTAAGCCATCCATGCCGAGGTCTATCGGATGCATGCTCTGTCAAATCAGTCCTTTGCAAGAACAGGGTGGCCTTCATCAGCTGATGGGGTTGTCTGAAGGGAGGAGCCATGGAAACAGTCACACAGGGCAAACGCTTTGCCCTGAAGGCAAACCAAAATGCAAGAGCCATTTCTCCTATAAAAGGGACATCTGGTGGTAATTAAGCCATCCATGCCGAGGTCTATCGGATGCATGCTCTGTCAAATCAGTCCTTTGCAAGAACAGGGTGGCCTTCATCAGCTGATGGGGTTGTCTGAAGGGAGGAGCCATGGAAACAGTCACACAGGGCAAACGCTTTGCCCTGAAGGCAAACCAAAATGCAAGTCTCCTTTTAAATAACTTTGGGATTTTGTTGCAGGGGATTTTTTGTTTTGTTCTGTTCTGTTTTAAATGAGATGCTTGACTTTTG